AGTTGGAAATTGTAAGTATGAAGATAATAATAAATTGTTTGTTCTCTGTTTTTGTAGGCCTGGAGCAGTGAAGGATTACCACTGACAACAAGTAGCAATGATGCAGCAAAATGTTTGATGCTACCCTAACACAGGTTGGCTTTGGTTGAAAATTTATATGGATATCAGGGCTAAACTCTAATTCCCTCCCTATGATAAAGTCCCACCAAATAGAAGCCCCATCCCAAAATAAGCTCCTTCCAAAAATAAGCTCCTTAAAACCAGGAAAGNATCCCGTACAGGCCTGAAATTTTTTTCAGGTCTGATTTTCACTATTGCTCAAATAGTGCTTTACTGCGAAGGATCGTTCTCATATACGTCTCATAACCGCAGTTCACACATATGTTTCATATGTTTGTTGTTGTTTGATTTATCATCTACGGGTTTATATCGAATTAATTTGATGGCCTGCTCCCAGTTGGCTTGTTAGCTCAATTGGTAGAGCGCTGCACTAGTATCGCAGAGGTCAGTGGTTCGAATCCCGTACAGGCCTGAAATTTTTTTCAGGTCTGATTTTCACTATTGCTCAAATAGTGCTTTACTGCGAAGGATCGTTCTCATATACGTCTCATAACCGCAGTTCACACATATGTTTCATATGTTTGTTGTTGTTTGATTTATCATCTACGGGTTTATATCGAATTAATTTGATGGCCTGCTCCCAGTTGGCTTGTTAGCTCAATTGGTAGAGCGCTGCACTAGTATCGCAGAGGTCAGTGGTTCGAATCCCGTACAGGCCTGAAATTTTTTTCAGGTCTGATTTTCACTATTGCTCAAATAGTGCTTTACTGCGAAGGATCGTTCTCATATACGTCTCATAACCGCAGTTCACACATATGTTTCATATGTTTGTTGTTGTTTGATTTATCATCTACGGGTTTATATCGAATTAATTTGATGGCCTGCTCCCAGTTGGCTTGTTAGCTCAATTGGTAGAGCGCTGCACTAGTATCGCAGAGGTCAGTGGTTCGAATCCCGTACAGGCCTGAAATTTTTTTCAGGTCTGATTTTCACTATTGCTCAAATAGTGCTTTACTGCGAAGGATCGTTCTCATATACGTCTCATAACCGCAGTTCACACATATGTTTCATATGTTTGTTGTTGTTTGATTTATCATCTACGGGTTTATATCGAATTAATTTGATGGCCTGCTCCCAGTTGGCTTGTTAGCTCAATTGGTAGAGCGCTGCACTAGTATCGCAGAGGTCAGTGGTTCGAATCCCGTACAGGCCTGAAATTTTTTTCAGGTCTGATTTTCACTATTGCTCAAATAGTGCTTTACTGCGAAGGATCGTTCTCATATACGTCTCATAACCGCAGTTCACACATATGTTTCATATGTTTGTTGTTGTTTGATTTATCATCTACGGGTTTATATCGAATTAATTTGATGGCCTGCTCCCAGTTGGCTTGTTAGCTCAATTGGTAGAGCGCTGCACTAGTATCGCAGAGGTCAGTGGTTCGAATCCCGTACAGGCCTGAAATTTTTTTCAGGTCTGATTTTCACTATTGCTCAAATAGTGCTTTACTGCGAAGGATCGTTCTCATATACGTCTCATAACCGCAGTTCACACATATGTTTCATATGTTTGTTGTTGTTTGATTTATCATCTACGGGTTTATATCGAATTAATTTGATGGCCTGCTCCCAGTTGGCTTGTTAGCTCAATTGGTAGAGCGCTGCACTAGTATCGCAGAGGTCAGTGGTTCGAATCCCGTACAGGCCTGAAATTTTTTTCAGGTCTGATTTTCACTATTGCTCAAATAGTGCTTTACTGCGAAGGATCGTTCTCATATACGTCTCATAACCGCAGTTCACACATATGTTTCATATGTTTGTTGTTGTTTGATTTATCATCTACGGGTTTATATCGAATTAATTTGATGGCCTGCTCCCAGTTGGCTTGTTAGCTCAATTGGTAGAGCGCTGCACTAGTATCGCAGAGGTCAGTGGTTCGAATCCCGTACAGGCCTGAAATTTTTTTCAGGTCTGATTTTCACTATTGCTCAAATAGTGCTTTACTGCGAAGGATCGTTCTCATATACGTCTCATAACCGCAGTTCACACATATGTTTCATATGTTTGTTGTTGTTTGATTTATCATCTACGGGTTTATATCGAATTAATTTGATGGCCTGCTCCCAGTTGGCTTGTTAGCTCAATTGGTAGAGCGCTGCACTAGTATCGCAGAGGTCAGTGGTTCGAATCCCGTACAGGCCTGAAATTTTTTTCAGGTCTGATTTTCACTATTGCTCAAATAGTGCTTTACTGCGAAGGATCGTTCTCATATACGTCTCATAACCGCAGTTCACACATATGTTTCATATGTTTGTTGTTGTTTGATTTATCATCTACGGGTTTATATCGAATTAATTTGATGGCCTGCTCCCAGTTGGCTTGTTAGCTCAATTGGTAGAGCGCTGCACTAGTATCGCAGAGGTCAGTGGTTCGAATCCCGTACAGGCCTGAAATTTTTTTCAGGTCTGATTTTCACTATTGCTCAAATAGTGCTTTACTGCGAAGGATCGTTCTCATATACGTCTCATAACCGCAGTTCACACATATGTTTCATATGTTTGTTGTTGTTTGATTTATCATCTACGGGTTTATATCGAATTAATTTGATGGCCTGCTCCCAGTTGGCTTGTTAGCTCAATTGGTAGAGCGCTGCACTAGTATCGCAGAGGTCAGTGGTTCGAATCCCGTACAGGCCTGAAATTTTTTTCAGGTCTGATTTTCACTATTGCTCAAATAGTGCTTTACTGCGAAGGATCGTTCTCATATACGTCTCATAACCGCAGTTCACACATATGTTTCATATGTTTGTTGTTGTTTGATTTATCATCTACGGGTTTATATCGAATTAATTTGATGGCCTGCTCCCAGTTGGCTTGTTAGCTCAATTGGTAGAGCGCTGCACTAGTATCGCAGAGGTCAGTGGTTCGAATCCCGTACAGGCCTGAAATTTTTTTCAGGTCTGATTTCCACTATTGCTCAAATAGTGCTTTACTGCGAAGGATCGTTCTCATATACGTCTCATAACCGCAGTTCACACATATGTTTCATATGTTTGTTGTTGTTTGATTTATCATCTACGGGTTTATATCGAATTAATTTGATGGCCTGCTCCCAGTTGGCTTGTTAGCTCAATTGGTAGAGCGCTGCACTAGTATCGCAGAGGTCAGTGGTTCGAATCCCGTACAGGCCTGAAATTTTTTTCAGGTCTGATTTCCACTATTGCTCAAATAGTGCTTTACTGCGAAGGATCGTTCTCATATACGTCTCATAACCGCAGTTCACACATATGTTTCATATGTTTGTTGTTGTTTGATTTATCATCTACGGGTTTATATCGAATTAATTTGATGGCCTGCTCCCAGTTGGCTTGTTAGCTCAATTGGTAGAGCGCTGCACTAGTATCGCAGAGGTCAGTGGTTCGAATCCCGTACAGGCCTGAAATTTTTTTCAGGTCTGATTTCCACTATTGCTCAAATAGTGCTTTACTGCGAAGGATCGTTCTCATATACGTCTCATAACCGCAGTTCACACATATGTTTCATATGTTTGTTGTTGTTTGATTTATCATCTACGGGTTTATATCGAATTAATTTGATGGCCTGCTCCCAGTTGGCTTGTTAGCTCAATTGGTAGAGCGCTGCACTAGTATCGCAGAGGTCAGTGGTTCGAATCCCGTACAGGCCTGAAATTTTTTTCAGGTCTGATTTCCACTATTGCTCAAATAGTGCTTTACTGCGAAGGATCGTTCTCATATACGTCTCATAACCGCAGTTCACACATATGTTTCATATGTTTGTTGTTGTGGGAAGATATATTAATGGAGAACCCAACTGACATGTTTGCTTTGAAAATGGCTCACGACTCCTACTTCTATCTTGGATACCAACGTCAGTTGAGAGATTCCATCGCAAGGGTGATGCCGAAATGGAAGGAAGATATGCCACTCTATGGGTAGATGGCTTAGCACTAACTGTTCTAAGTTCTTTCAGTATTCAATCAGTGTTTCGTCAGTCTTGTGTGGTGGATCCTGCCTCTCTCCAAAGTAAGAGGCTAGGCGATCAGAGAACTTGAGCTCATAAACAGCCCTGTTTGTGTCTAAGTAAAAAAGTTGTTAAGTTAAACTTCAATTACATACTGTTTATTTTTTTTTTTTATTTTTTTTTTTTTTAACTGGCGTTGGCTCGTTATACCAAGGTAAAGCTACATGATTTTTTTCTTCAGGGAATTTACCGCAGAATGCGCCTACCGCTGGGTTTTCATAATGCCACCCGTTTTAATAGCCAGTGTAAAGTTATCACAATAGATACACACACCCACACGCACGCACGCATACAAATCCATACAATAATTCCGCGTGACAAGGCCTTCAGTTTGAGCCTCATTAAGATTTTGGGCAATTGTCAGAAAACCCTGGCTTCAGATAACGTTACTACAAATTACTATCAGGAGTTCGTCGCTTTTTTTCGCGTGGTATGCACTACGCCCTCAGTGTTCCAGCACCTGCTGTGAAATACATCGAGCCGTTTCAACAAACTTACCTCTCTTCGCCCTCCGATTGATGCTTCCCCAGAAGCAACAACAACAACAGAACTACCACATTATTCCGTATGAGGAAGGGTTGGGGCTTATGGCCAACGCTCAGTTCTTCGTTGGTAAAAGTTAAAGATGTTAGTTTTTCTTTCTTTCTTTCTTTCATCCTTCAATCACCCTGTGTAGATGGGAGCTATGCTAGCCTGTCACAATTACTGGCACTGGGCGCTATACCAAATCGAGAGGGTTGTTATCTATTTCTTTAAAGTTAATGTTATGGTCTTTGTATTTGTTTGTTTATTTGTTTGTTTGCTGCTTTGGTTTTTGCATTTGTGGTTATTTTTTTTCAGCCATGTTTGCTATTAAATGCCAGCCTTTCTTTATTAGGGAGAACATCAAGCTGCAGTGGACATTTTGTCTTCTTTTTTGAAAGGGAAGCTTCGACAGAGCTGTAGACATTTCAAAACCCCTCCGTTATGACGTTGTCAACATTGGAGGCAGTAACGCACAGGTTCGTCTATTTCATTGCAATTCATTTTCGTTAATTAGTGCAACTTGTGGCAACATCTCTTTGGTTTTTCCTTTGACACAGCGGGACATCTTCAACTTATTCCTGATTTACGCTGCTCTGCATTCTTCACGAAAAGAGCATCATCACTTGGCAAGGTAAAGTGCAGTTTCTTTCGTTTGAACCTATATCCTTTCCATATCTGAATTAGACATCTGTTGATCCTTGCAAAAGAGACGAAAGATTTTTATACTTATATTTTTTCTTTCTGAATGGCCAGATATTTCGGTAGCCTGTTATTCTCCCCCCAGACTTGTTTGAGTCAAGGCTTTTAAATTATGAAACACCTCATTGGGGCCAGGTAAAGTGAGGTCGACACATTGGCATGATATGCAAAGGATATCACCTTTTTATAAAATTCAGATCTAACGCATGAAACATAACCTTGTCTTCCCAAGAAAAACGCTCCATTAGCCGCTGTTGAAAATCCACTCCTTCTGGCAAATAAATTCAATGAATTTTATGCTAATGTGGGAAAAGTGACAGCTTTGAAAGCCACGGACCTTGCTGAAGAACATAATCTCAACTCCCGAGACACTGAGGGAATTCATCCGTGTGAATCCATTCGCAGCTCTGGTCAAAATACCTTGTTTATGTTAGCAAGGTAGACAACGGC